TTTTTTTAAGATTTTTTATTTATTTGAGAGAGAGAGACACAGCGAGAGAGAGAACACAAGCAAGGGGAGTGTGAGAGGGAGAAGCAGGCCTCCCGCGGAGCAGGGAGCCCGATGTGGGGCTCGATCCCAGGACCCTGGGATCATGACCTGAGCCGAAGGCAGACGCTTAACGACTGAGCCACCCAGGCGCCCCTATCAAGCATTTTTTTTAAGCACACCCAGTATTCAAACAAAATTATTCCTAAAACCTTAGGGTGTCAGCCAACTTCACAGAAGGAAGGAGAGGCCCCAACGGGGTGGGAAAAGGATGTCCTAAGTGGACTATTGACAGGGATTCGGCAGGGGTGAAGGAGATCAGAAAGAGCTGAACCCAATACCTTGGGCATGGTCCCTGCGGGTAGGCTGGGTGGCCAGCTGCCTATGGGAACGTGGCCACAGGACTGTGGCACTCACTGCCCAGCTGTCGGCCACAAGCGTGGGGCTGTCATTGATTTGCTCGCCTTCAGAGGGCTGGAGTGAGGCTGCCGTCCACCAGCTCGTTTTCAGCAGCACAGCCACTGGAGTGATGTCATCAATTCGGCAGAGCTGGTGAATTAATCTGAAGGTATCTTGAATTAACTGCAGGTACTGGTTCCCAACTTGGGACTTTGGCTAAAGAAGACTCTTTTCCTTTCCGGAATATGAAAAATGGGTATTTTCAAGCCTTAGTCCCCGCTTCTGGTCTTCCCTCAGTCAAACCTGTAGGAGAGACCCTAAGGAGCGTCCAGATGCTGATCTGTGGGGGTATGGCTTTCAGTTGGTGACATCATTGAAGTGATTTGAGCACCAATGATTGTGGAGGAAAAAAGAGCTCTGTTTGCCAAACTTTTATAATTCATTATATAGACAGATAGATAGAGCATATAAATTTATAATTTGTAGTTTTTATCATTTGAAAACAAAGCTGCATATAGAAAATTGAGGGCATCCTGATGAAGTCAATATGGGACACAGGACAAAATACAAAGTACAGGAAAAAAGGGAGGGCTTTTCCTATTCAGACGATGTTTTACAATGAGATTTTCATTTCCAAAGCACAATTCAAGATGGCTTAGAGTGTTACCTCATGAGATCCGGCGAAGAGCCTATTTGACTTGTTAATGCAATTTTTAAACTGAATGAGGATGAAGGTGAAAAGAGCAGATAAAAACCATGGAAGTGGCTGTTGTCTACACCACCAGGTTAGAGATGGCCAAGTAATTCACTCAAGCAGAGAACTTAGCAGTAATCCTGAAAACCGTACGCAACCGTCTTCACACTAATGCGCAGACAGGAGCTATGAACAGGAAGACTCAGGTAAAAACAGAGTAGAGTAAATACGAGCAGGAAGTCACTACGACTGGGTGTAAAAATTTCTGAGTGGAACACTCACACGAGAAGGGAGTTATGGAGCAGTCTACTGGGATCATATACACCTACAGTGAAGTGAAGGACACGCAAGGTAAAATGCACTGTGGAAAATACTGGAGCAAAGAAGACAGGAAAAACTCAAATACAATGATGAAAATATATTACAGAATGCCAGGACAGAGAAAGGAAAATCAGATTGGACACTAAGTGTGGGGAAAAAAAAACAAACAAACAAAAAAAAAACGTTAAATATATCAACTTCACTTAAAAGAGCACAAAATACTGAAACATAAATTTTAGCAGTTGATAGAGAACTCCAAATGTCCACAGAATCTTTTTTTTTCTAAAAGCAGAACATCTGACAATTTTTTATATGCCAGAAAGCTAATCTCCCAGGAAGTAGAGATAGCAAAAGTCTACTCTAGACCACAAAAATGACCAGCAAGAAGGAATTGAGTGATAAAGTGGAAGTGCCAAGCACCTGGAGAGAATGTGAGCAACTCATGTTAAGATCTCTGATACCTCGTGAAGGGAGCTCAAGACTGTGATTCCAGCTCTGCTATTAAAAATGATCCTGATAAGGAAAAAATAAGCTTGCCAAAAGAAAAAAAACGTCTCTTCTGACAAGCTCAGCTTTTAAAAGCATACATACTAGAGCTGAAACAGTGTGCATAGCCAATGAATATGAAAAAAGGTAAAATGTCAGTTGAGGTTTTGGGAATTAGTTGAAGATTTCTTTTAAAAAAAATACTAAAGCCAACAAAAAAGTGTTCTGTAAACTGTGTGTCGAGTCAGCTGAAGAGAAAAGGCTACAGGGTGATGACAGTTTTTTTCTAGTATCTTTTCTTTTTTTTTTTTTTAATCAAGAACAACCTTCAGACAGGAAAGTTAGGGGGGAAGATATGGCAAGAAGGAAATGAAGCCCATCACAGGTACAAATATTTAAAAAGGAAAACTGAGTATCCAGACCTGGACAGATTTCATACTGAAAGATCGTATGGGTGGTAAATGGAGCAAGATAGAAGAGAGATGGGAAATGAAATTTTTATTTAAAAAAAAATAAAAGATGGATTATGTAGCTTATAGACTGATAAATAATGTTGATTCAAAGTAAGATTAGACTGAATTAGTTAAAAGGCAATTTGTAGTATTAGAAATAGAAATGGTGATTGTTAGCAATATACAAGGAATCGCTAGAATAAGTCCTATCAGACTAAATCCAGTTCCCCTTTTTCTTTTTTTTTTTTTGATGGGATAATGGAAACGGCCAAAGAAATGAACTAGATTGTTCCCCTGGATTTCCACAAAGCATCTGTAAGAAGCTGATGGTAGTAATGCAGAGGATTATCATACATTAGAACGCTTAGAGATTGTGGTATTGGCTCAATGAATTGATACTGACCTTCAGCTAGGATACAGGGACTCGACACAGAGTCTGGCCCTGGCTCTCTGCAGTTTGACATTTTTATCAATAAAGGTACAGAACTGATGGCTTTAAATTTATCAATGCCATTAAGGGAGGCAAGATAGCTAATGGTGTAATGTGACAGGATTAGGGTACAAATATTTCTCAACAGATAGGAATGATGGCTTCCATCCAAGACAAAGTTTGATGAATACCAGGCCTTATTCTTGTCTCGGAGCAGAAGCACACACTCTGCATGAGAAGTCAAGGTGTTGCTCAGTTTTAAACTCTACTTTATTATAAGGGGAATGGTAAAAGGTACCTTGAATTAAGAGTGGTTATAAATATTATCACTAATCCTCAGAGCCACGCTGCAGAGAAGGCATTATCCGCAATTTGAGGGGACGACACTGATGCCAAGAAGTCAAATAACTTCGCCATTGTTCTTACAAGTTAAGTGAAGAAGTGAGCATCACATTAAATCTGTCTGATCTCAAAATTCAGGCTCTCTCCTGCTTCAACATCTAACTCCGTACGGGAGCCAGATACCTCACTGGCTTTATTTCCAACTCCCGTATGCACTGTGGTATATATTTTCTTTACCATTACCATAATTCTTGATGCTATTTAAAAATGGCCCTTCCTTTTACAAAGGGAGGATAGGTTATCCTTTGGTAGGTAGTGACACTCAATCAGGTACCAAAAGAACTTACTTCACATATCCAAATCCATCCAATGTGGACTAGAACCAAGGTTGGCCAACTACAGTCTGCGAGTCAAATCCAGCCCACCTCCTGCTTTTATTTGGTCCATGAGCTAAGAATGGTATTCACATTAATAAAAGGCTGAAAGAAAAAAAAAAGAGTATTTCATGACACGTAAGAATTGTAGGAAATTCGAATTTCACTGTCCATGAATAAAGTTTTATTGTAACACAGCCAAGCTCATTCATTTACATAGTGTCTATGGCTGAGGTGAGTTGAGTGTGACAGAGACCATCTGCGGCATTCACGTTGCTACACGCTGCCGTTCAACACACGCCAAAGCTCCATGATGCACTTATAATTCAACAGCATTTCAAGTGCCACACACATTGTCACATAGACATTTTCCTATTTTTTATTACGAGTGCATATTAATCATGTAAAAAAAGTAAAGTGAACTTTAAGTGTAGCACTTTTAAGGCACAGTGGAATGTGGGTTATCTGTTACACAATTATATGGCAAAGCATCGTGTTTGTTACGCAACGGCACTCTAGCTGTGCGAAAAGAATACAATTTATTGTGACATTACCAGACTAAGCACTCACCACAATATCCCCAGCTCACAGGAAAGCAACAGTCAGAACAGTTAGAAAACTTACAACAGAGTATCTCATCGCAGTAGAATCTTTCACACACACACGAAAGTGAGAATAAGGGGCTCACTGTTAGCCAAGCAGAGCTATTTGCTGATGGTGACTTAAGGTTAATTGTGTTTGACTACAGCAGCCAGGAAGTATGCACAGAGAAAACGAATTTGTCGAAGACTAGCTTTTTAGCAAGGATGGGTGCTTGAAGACTCGAAGACACCAAGAGTCAAATAAAAAGCAAGGCAAATGATTCCAAGTAGCTCTCCTTAGCTTTTGATGAGCCAACAGACAATAGCGATACTGCCCAGTTTTTGTTTATTAGAGAAGTCAGTGCTGAGCTTGAAGGGACTCGAGAATTAGTCTGTAGGAAGAGCCTCTCGAGAACAACTATTTTAAGGAATATTTTTAAGGAAACTTGAGAAAACACCAATTCAGTGCGGAATGAAGTGGAACCTGCTAAGATGTGTTGCAACAGATGGTTAAAAACGCGTGGAGCAGAGAAAGGTATACTGGACAAATCTACAAAGCTGGTCAAAATGTAAGATGTTTAAAGTCAATGTTTATAGTCTGTATTACTCGTCGGCAGGTATTTTGTGGAATATACCTGAATCAGTCAGGTTATAGAACTTGTAGTCAATGGTGTATTTCCTTATGGTCTTAGCCATCATCACTTCCGTGAAGTTGTGTCAGAAATAGAAACTGAGGATCCTGACCAGCCCAACCATACAGCAGTTTGATGGCAGTGGCTAAGTGTTACTGCAATTTTTTTTCAGCTCAGGACGAAGACTGCAAATTTGTTAAATGAGAATCACCTCTGCCCTATTATAGATAAACCCTGAATTCTGCTTGTGCTGCAGATTTGATCATGTTTCTTAATGAATTCAACTTAAAATTACAAGGCAGAACAGCACTTATAATGTGAAACTTACACTGCAGCAAAGTCAATACAGTAACATCTCAGGTTTAAATCAAGAGTAATGTTATACTGCTTTACACAACTTCCCAAACGGTCAGGTTCAAAGGGAACAAGAGCTCCATTCCCACACAAATTTGCAGTGCATCTATTTTCCAAACTCAACCACAGTTCCAGCCGGACTTTGGGATCTCAAAATCCATGTAATTGTACAACTGAGGAATATTTACTTAGCCATCAATTGGAAGTGATTATACCTGCAAAGGAATAATATACCAAAGGGCAAATATCAAGAGTGGAATCTAATGGAATTCTGTAAGTACCTTCCAAATGATAAATATGTTCAATGAAAATCATACATGTGAGGACTGATAACAGTATTTGGTAGTATCTATCTGCGGGAGACATTCTCAAAGATGAAATATGTAGTCACATTACCAATCAGTATAACAGATGAACATTTGCCATGGATTTCAAACCCCAGCTATGTGAAATATTATCCCCTCAAAATAATTCAATTCTTATCATTACTAGACTTGTATTTTTTTTTAATTGTACTCAGGCATTAATATATAATTTGGATCCCATTAATAAAAAATTAGTGGAAATTTGTTTTCTTGTTACACAAGTATTTAAGAGCCTCAGTTTTGCCTCTTGGCCCACAAAAAGTTTGCCAACCTTCAGTCTAGACCAGTGCAGGAGTGTTTTTACATTTGAATACAACTGCAATATGGTGAACCTTCCTGTGAACAACTGTTCTTTGTAGCAAAAGCATTTTTATATCCCAGCAATACAACCTGATAATACGTAGTTCTTCCCTTGGTTATGATCCACGTATTCTCATTAAGTACATTTCCTAATAACATGTGGGTCTGTATAAGATTTAGGCAGAGGAGAAACTAGTTATCCTGAACATCAGCCAAGCTTTGTAACTCCACTTATTTGTACTCTTGCAGAAAAACCAGCTTTTTTAGTCTACTAACCCAGCTCTATCACAAACACCTTTAACGCTCCACAAAAACAAAAACACACCAAAGAAGGTACTGAGGACCTCTCCGTTTTTACCTGAGTCTAGAACATTTTTCAAATGTATTCACTTGCTATATATAATTTCTAATAACATATTAAAAAAAGACTAATGAAGTCCAGTAATAATAACATTTCCGGATTTAAAATGATTAGGTCTGCCTTTCGGCTCTCTCCCGTTTTTCTCATCAAGACGATGGCCGCCTACGGGTTTTGCCTGGGCAGTGTCGGCTTGCTCTGACTTCTGGTGATCATGCCCTCACTTCCTCTTGGCTAACACCCCTCGTACCTCATCTCTCAGTCCAGTGTGTCCTCTGAAGGTGGGAAAACAGCATTCCCTTGGCCACAGTAATTGGCTCAGGGGTGGGCCTGTGAACCAAGGAAGCAATAAATGTCAGTGTGAGGGTTTTGTTAGGACCGCTGAGAGGAACCGCTCTTCGTTTTGGCTGAGGTTATGAAGACAGCAGACGTCGGAAGCTGCTGGGTGGCCGCTTCACTACCACACAGGAGAAGCGTCCCTGGCAATGAGAACAGCCCGGGAGGAAGCGAGAGAGAGACACAGGGAGATCCTGACTCTGCACCAGGATCTAGCACGTCGGAAGCCGGCCCTTCCGCTGGCCTGGTCAGCGAGACACGGTAACGTACACCCCCTACTGTGTAAGCCTCTCGCAATTCGGAGGGTGCTGGCTGATGCGGCTGCATTGTCGTTCCAACTGACCCCCATCTTAAATCAGATTTTTCGACATCGGGCCTTTTGACCATTAGGTTTCATCTCCAGGTCTACCACCTCTGAATGCCGGTGTCAGCCGGTGCTGCTTTGCCTTATCTTACCTGGAGCATCTTTCAGTAAGCACAGCACTATTAATACCATTTTGGAAAACTCCCCTGAGAGCACCTGGCACAGGATAAGCTGGGAGAGTCTGTCCCAGATACATGCTCTCCATCTGCAATGGCAAAGTCATTCGCTGAAAAGTGATTAATCACATTTCACTGCTGTGCACATCCCAGTATGACTTCATTTTTTAAAAGGAATAAAATGATTCTGTTTCTTTTCCTTGCTTTATTGGTAGCATTAGTTTTAATTAATCGCTCTATTAAATGGTTCAGGGAAGTGTAAAAGGCTTTTTCTTGAAGGAAAGCTCAGACACTTCCAGGTATGTACTTACGTTGGGGCTCCCACAAAGCAAAATCCAAACAGAAACACAAAACACAAAAGCGTCTTCCTTTAGCTTGGCTTCTCACATACACAAAACTAAATGAATCGGATTTTTAGAACTCCTACCTTAGGTTATTACGAGTAGCATCACTTCACCCGTCATTAGAGGAAGGGGGAAAAAGCGAGTTTAAAAAAACTACCTTTATTTTTTATTTCTTTTTCAGTTACATACTTTTAAACAGGGATGTGTTTCATTATTCAGACATTCAGGCAATGTTGACTTCATTAGTGTTGACAGAAAAGAAGCATAAAAATGCAAAACATTGTTGGCTTAACCTGAACATACCTGCATTACCTATTATTGACCAGTTTGTGTTGCCAAAAGACTTACTCCTTGGCATTAAAATGGAGCACTTAAAAATATTGCTAAAAAGCAAATGTCTACACACTGGTCTTTGCAGCAAATAAGGGTATTTATACTTTTAAAATATTTTAAGTCCATAATTGGATTAATATACACACCTTCTTATGTATAAGGAGTTCAGATCATATAAACACTGTACAGTCCAAAAACCCTACTGAGAATAAAACTAAATAGGCTTATGATAAGAAATACAGATATCGCCATGTATTTACAAATATCATAGACACACAAATTTGGTCAAATACTGTAAAGAAAAAAGTGGTTTCACATTATAATGGCCAAAACATCCATCTACCTTGTTCAAGGCAAACAAAAAATAAAAACTCAGTATGTAACTCCTGTCGTTTAAGACATCATGACAGTATACAAATAGACACAATGGAAACTGTTGACCAAATTATACAGCAAATGTCTTCTAGGCTGAGCGTGGGCCTTTAAAATCAAGAACTTGAAAAGATCATTCAGACGATTCAGAGCAACAATGATAAACAATGTCCTGATTTGCAGTATTCATATGGGCGCCTAATTTGTCAAAAACAACACGCTGAACTTTTGGCTAATAAGAAAAAATAAATTACCAAGTACAATTAAATCCCTGTAAATGCAATAATGAAGTCAAAAATGTAATTTATTTACTTTAATTACACATTTTAAATGTTACCTTGAGACAATAAAAATAAATAAGCACGCCGGAAGGCATGCACTTAAAGACAAAGAAAGGGTTGCATGGAAAAAGTAGCAATCTTCTAAATGAAAGGTGAAGATGAGATTTGAAAAACATCATTCTCGTTCTAGCCAGTCTTTATGTCTTAACTCTTCTTGAAGAATCTGGCTAGTAGAATGCGACCAAAGTACTACACCTGTGTCTTTATGGCTTAAAACAAAGCATACCTAAAAAGTGGAATGGGTTTCCTTTTTTACAGAACTGTTACTTTGTTCATATGCAGGCACTTCAAAAGACTATGGAGGCAAAGCACCTGACCCATCCTTTCCAAAATAGTTTTCAGTCATCAAAATTATACTAAAAAGTAGGAAAATTCCAGAGAACCAGCAAAGTTGAATACAAGAGACTAATGTGCACAGAGGGCAATAGAGTGACCCAGTTTTTATTGCTGGGGGTCCTTTTTTTTTTTTTTTTATCAAAGAGCAAATAATTAATAAACAGACACCACTGCATGGCACATCCAAAATTTTCTGCTTAAGGGAGAATGTAATCATTCAGCAGGTTTCAGTGGGATCTCCTCAGACTTCAACCTTACACATTGCAATGAGATTCACATTTATTTCTTCTCCTTAGTGTATTTAAAAAAAAAAAAAAAACTCCAACATACTTAATTTCTCAAAGTATTCATTTCTTGCTGTCTAACATACATTATTATCTGGAAGCATAAAGTTACATTATACAAATATTTTGCATTTTTCTTTTTTTTTTTTTTTTTTAAAAAGCGCTTTTGCCACTTGAGCGACACTGTACTTCACGTCGTGGTGCCACAAAAGCAGAGCTCCTATCTAGCACGCTCCTGGTGATTCGTTTGACCCCTACCGTCTGCCGAACCCACAGAGCTTTTTCCTCAGTACCTCTGGGCAGTGACTGTACCATGATTTCACAGAGAGAATGTTAGTATGACTCATGACTAGCAGTACCGTCAGTAATACTGAAATCAATGCGCATGTCACACAAGAAATGAACTTCTCACAAAATAGCTTCTTTTACATATTTGGGCAACTGCGTCTTCTCTGTTGCATTATCCACTGGGGAGAAAATTCCTGCTTGATTATGCTCTTACAGAAGTTATAAAAAAAAACCAGATTAGGCATGTAACTGTTTGACACTGAAGATACTGTACTGCTTTCTACAACAGGAGGAGAGCTTCTGAAAAATGTCTTTAGAGCTGTATCCGTCAGTACCACCTCCTTGGTCCATTCCATTCATTGATGGGCAAAGCACTCATGTTTGGACAAAACTTTAAAGCTTCCATAAAAGTTAAATTAGAAAAAAATATGAATGTAAGACAACCACAAAATGAAGTATGAAAGTATGACATTTTGTTTCTAAGAGTGAGTCCTTGGAAATATATGTGGTCACTACAGAGATGATTTTAATCACAAGACAGCAGATGAACACGTAAGTAACTCCCCATGATCTGTCTGTGTCCAGAGTCATTTGTGACGCTGTATGGTTTTCCTTTTCCTTCGTTTGAAAAAACAGCAGCACCTGCAGATGGAGGGAAACACTTCTTGTATTATAAAGGCACTAAGGGTCACAAAGTAAAGGCTGAGCTTAGCATATTAATTTCAATGGTCGTAAAAAGCAACAGGCTAATGCAAGATACACAGTGAACATGCCAGTGAAGCATATATATTAGTGAACCTAGGGCAGAGTTATTACTACAGTTTCATCAACGTGCCTTTTAGGAAGACAGCCAGACATTCTATGCAACATTACAAGGAGCCACTAAATTGAAAAGGCTTTGCACCAAGACTAAACGAGGAGGTGTGGAATTCTGAATCCTCACCGACCCACCGTATTTTATTTTGAATACTCATTAACCTCTGGCAGGGGCATGCTTTTATAAAATTCATCTTATGCATTCTCTCCCTTTCTTCCTGATATTTACATTTGATTATTAAAGTCATTGTTAGAAAAGCAATAATTATCCTAATACTGAGGAACTGATTTTCACCAAGGATGAGATTCCAGAAAGAAAAAGAGAAAGCCCAAATAGACTCTTCAACAAACATTTTCTACCACATTTACAAACTGGAAGAGAGAAAATGCATTAACTAGCATGTCAATACTGGCACTTCTTAATTCTTTAAGAGTTAAGGTCAAACTGGGGGTGCCCGGGTGGCTCAGTCGTTAAGCGTCTGCCTTCAGCTCGGGTCATGGTCCCAGGGTCCTGGGATCGAGCCCTGCATCAGGCTCCCTGCTCAGCGGGGAGCCTGCTTCTCCCTCTCCCACTCCCCCTGCTTGTGTTTCCTCTCTCGCTGTCTCTCTCTCTGTCAAATAAATAAATAAAATCTTTAAAAAAAAAAAAAAAAAGAGTTAAGGTCAAACTATCCTAAGTTAATGAAAGTAAAAACTGTGCTTAATATTTAAAATAGCATAATCAAGGTGATTCAGTCTTGCAGTCTATGAAGGAAAAGCATTCGGAGTTTCATTCCTAAGTAAAAAAAAAAAATCTAGAGATGACGCCTGAGAGACCTGGTTTTTTCCATAGTAAGTTCTCCCCTGGTCATGAGAAGATGAAACACATGCAGCATGTGGGGAGTGATGCTGAGGCTGGTGCCAACTCACAGTTAGAGGAGAATCACTGAGCAGAAACTCACAAAAAAATACACACCCACATGCATATATCTATTCTAAAAGTCTGGCATTCCTTCAAACACAGGTCTGGCTCTTTTCCCCTTCCACACTTAAAGGAAAGTCTATCTATCAGAGTATCAAGAAGACAAGCGACACATAGAGAGGCTCTTTTGTCTTTTTCATGGAAGCCTAGTGTGTGTGCATATGTAAATATGTAAATCCTGTTTTGTAATTAAAGAAATATCTATATGCATGGTGATTCAATCAACAAAATGCTGCCAATTCAAAGCTCGTACAGAATGTGACCTTATAACGATGTTCCTCTAATTCTTACCAGCCCGCCTGCAAAGGCTATTAAACAAGTCATTTCAAGCTAAGCATAATGGAGACCACCTAGCTTTAAGTGTCCTCTCCAGCAAAAGATTGTGGAAGATGAAATAATTGCTAGATTATCTTTTATGTCTTTCTGTGAAAGAAATGTAAACAGAAACCCATACTGTCCCAGCTAAATTACACAATCTCTCCACCCACATTATCGTTAGTCAAAAATAATTTCAGACCATTTATTGTGATTTATGCCATGACTATGAAATCACACTATGCGGCATTCAAAACCAAATTACACGACTGGATTTTTTAACCCCATTCAAACAGCACATAATGATTAGACCATGGAGTGTGAATAATTCAAACCTATATATGTCAGCTGCTACAGACTCAACTGGAAATCTGTGCAGTTATCAATCTTTATGAATTTTACTTTTATTAAGGTGACCACCAGAGCAACCAGAAACAAATTACCCAACAGGGGCCTTGAAAAGAGCTACCTCTATAAAAGATGACTCTGGATACAATGGATTTTTCCTGGATTTATAAAAATAAGTCAACTTTATTTGTAACTGTCAGCTACCTAAATACTTTCTCAAATCTGTTACATAAATTTTCTAAAATAAAACAATGAAAAAAATTATTTAACTCAGATCCTAAGAGATGAAAACCATTATTCAAAAAAAAAGAAAACCTTTCAATAAAGGACTTAGAAAAGTCATAAAACGTTCATATTGTAAAAAAAAAAAAAAATTAATTGGTATTTAGAAGGAACAGACCAAATATTTAAAATACTAAATTTAAGAATATGATCACCTTTCAGTGGAGATTTATTATTTAATATAAAGTTATATTAATAAGGTTCACTGTTTCCAAATACTGTCATTTGTCTCTTCAAATTCCAAACTACAATCTTTTAAGATTTTTCTGCTGAAAAGGTGTTTTAATAAGTGTTTATTAAAAAGTGTTTTAATAAGCCTTTTGGAACGGGGAGTTTAATGTAATACATGTTTTGATCAACAAGTTCCAGATTTTCCACACTTGTATTAGCAATTCACCTTGTCTGGCTTATTTTTCTAATATCAGTCTGCTTTCCAGCTCAAGACAGCAGACCTATTCCTTAGGTCATCTTTTCTTCAATTACGTATTATTTAACACAGAAAACCAATCCAAGCATTTACTTGAGACTAAATGAAACTTTCAAATGAATCATAACTGTAGAGGCCTTTTAAACTGAAAGCCAATCTAAAAAAAGACACCTCTTTGTTAGAAATAAATCCCACCAAATAAAGAGTAAACCCTTGAAACCGATCTGCCAGGGAAGCTGGCATGCTATTAAACTGACTACCACCAGAGGACAGCATTGCTCTAGGCAACAGGAACGCATCCAAATAAAGGAGAGATGCTCTCAAAATAGAATACAGTTATAAAAAGAAGAAAACTGGTATTTAACCTGTGGCTGGTTTCTTAAAACTCATTACAAAGCAGCTGATTTACAGTCTGTGATTAAGAAATTAGGTCTCCTATCAATTGCCCTCCATCTGAAACAGTGTGGCTCCCATATGGCCACTCTGTCACGTGACCATTTTACGCTCCTCTCAGTCCTCAGACTAATCTGAATTTATTTATTTACTGATTATCTGCCTCCACACAGAACGTAAGCTTCGTAAAGGCTTGTCCACAGATACATCCCACAAATGGGCACAGAGTTGGTACTCATTTAGTATTTATTGAATAAATGAGTGACTTTCCTCATAAGTGCAACCCCTAGAGTAAGAACCTAGTCAAAATTCTACACCATGTTCTAAAGCTAGAGTTCTTACGCCAGGGCCCACAAGCCCTAGTGAAATCTCACAAGATGCAGATTTGAGTGCCTGTGGAGGCTTCCCTGGAGAAAATTGGTTTGCATCAGATTCTTACAGGAGTCTAAACCCAAGAAGCCCTGCTCTACCTACGTGCACCTGCCTGGCCTCCCCTCTGGCTTCTCCATTTCCAGCGAGTCCTTGTCCCAGAAGCTGTGAGCTGAGTGAGCACCGCAGATACTGAGGGGCCACCATGCCATCAACTGACAAGAGTGCGGGCAAGGTGTAAAAGGAAACAATGTAATTCTGACACTTGCCACAAGTCAAACAGGAACAAAAGTTACTGATAACGATAACTGCAAATAATAGCAAATAGTGCAGGAATGAGCACAGATGGAAGTTCCCACAGGTGAGGTGAGGTTACTTTGATCACTATATTCAACTAGCTGGTCTTAGAAAATTATCCACGCCTTTAGAATTTTTAAACACATTTTTCTCCAAGCTGCTCAGTGGCGACATTTACTTATTCGTTAGTTGATGCCTCATTTGGGGTCTCTTCAGATCTAGACTACTGACAGCCCTGGGGAAACTGATTAAGGTTACCAGACATTTAAATCATGTTCTTGTCAATGCTTTTCTTTCTCTTGGCTCTTTCTTGCTTATGCCTGTGTGGTTCCAGTAAGCCAGTAGGATCTCACGAGTCAGGTCCATGCCTCTGACAGGATTCTGTAGCTAGCCCAAAAGCTTTGAAGGCACAGCTCTACTCTTTTTTTTTTTTTTTTTTAAGATTTTATTTATTTATTCAAAAGAGAGAGTGAGAGAGAGAGCACACAAGCAGGGGGAGGGGCAGAGGGAGAGGGAGAAGCAGACTCCCCGCGGAGCAGGGAGCCCGACATGGGGCTTGATCCCAGGACCGTGAGATCATGACCTGAGCCAAAGGCAGATGCTCAACCGGCTGAGCCACCCAGGCATCCCACCACAGCTCTACTCTTAAATTCTTTCAAAATAAATGGTTAAATCCTGTTTCTGATGAACTTAAGGGCTGTTGCTGTAAAAACTGTTAAGGTGGTAAACAGGAGATCATAATGGATCCAAGTCCTCAACTCCGTAGAAAACATCCAGGAGAAGGGCCGAGGCTTTGCTAGTGACACTGCACCATTTCCCTTTCATTTGTGGCCTTTTCCTGCCTCTAGAATTTGACTATCTTCCTGGATGCAGGTCTTAGCCTTCCTTCTCCCATCTACCTGAAACTGACACACGGGTCTCTGTCCGGACCTGAAGTTCCTGTCTGTCCTCTCTGCAAAGACTCACTGGCTTCGCCTCTGGCTGAAAGACTGCTTCACAGCTGCTAGGCCCTATCCACTCAGGACTCCCGAGCCTCGCCTCTCCTTATCTAGGTTGATGAGTATACAGAAAACAGCTTTTAAGACATCTATCTTTAATTCTTTGACAAAGCATTTGCCCCCTTCAAATCCATACATGAAAACGTAATTTCTTATCTCTGGACCTCTTGGTGTAAAAAATGTGGAACTGATCAGTCAAGCAAGAAGAGTTCAGATAGAAGCCCAAGACCATCCATATAACTAATCCAACTGGGAACCTGCAGATCCATCCTCATCCTCAATTTCTTCCTCTCCATCCACATGCAATTAGTCCCTCAAGTCTGAAATGACTTTCAAAGTTGTCCCATCCTGTAATGCTCGCTGACTTCAGAACTTCTTGCCTCCCCCACTGCTAAGAGCCTCTTAACAGACGCCCAGGATAAGTGTCTTCCTCTCTCCAGTGCGCCACCCCAACTTGCCCCCGCCGAGATACGGCCTTGCCAACTCTGCCTTTTAAATCTCACCACTGGTTCTCCCACAGTCTAAGGCATTAGGTCCACACACACAGCTCTTACAAATTTGGTTCCTATCTATTTCCCTCTCCTCTTAGTCTCATCTTGCATCAAGCTGCCTTTCCAGGCAGTCTGTACTACAAAAGGGAGAGAAGGGGAGGATGGATTGATTTTGTGTAATCTAATGAACCCCAGGAAATGACATAAGCCTCAAAAGTGCTGCCAAACTAATTATCTCAAGGCTCAATCTGATTATACCATTTCTTGGCTTAAAACCCACAGCTTGCTTGCTTGTGTTGAGAAAGGATCATGTCTTTTTTTTTGTTGCTTTCACCTGGCTACTAAGGGCCTTTGAGACTGGGCACTTGGACTATCTCAGGTCCCACCAGGATGCATTCGCACACGCTATACACGAATGGGTCACTTCTCACACCTGCCTCACTCTGTCCTTGCTCCACATGTTGCTCAGCCTCCTCTCTCGGACTCCTGCACCCAACTCCTTTGTCAAGCCTGCTTATCTTGGAGAACCAGGGCAAATGTACCCTTACCCGTGAAGATGCCTCTGATCTTCCAGCTGGAAGAGCACATTCCAGTCTCTTAAATCCAGTCACACTGTATCCTGTGAGCTAATCCTGTAATACCAGGTATTAGACCAATGATTCTCAATCCTGGGTGCTCCTCAGAATCACCTTACAAGCTTTTTAAAAATACTGTCAACCAGGGGCGCCTGGGTGTCTCAGTCGGTTAGGTGTCTGCCTTCGGCTCAGGTCGTGATCCCAGGGTCCTGGGATCAAGTCCCACGTCGGGCTCCTGGCTCAGCGGGGAGCCTGCTTCTCCCTCTCCCTCCCCCTCTCCCTCTGCCCCTCCCCACCCCGCTCATGCTCGCACTCTATCTAATAAATAAATAAAATCTTAAAAAAAAAAAATATTGTCAACCAGACCCCCACCACAGAACAATTCAATTGGGAACTCTGATGGCACAGCCTAGGTGTTAGCGTATTTTTGAAACTCCCCGGATGCCTGTGATTGGAAGCCAGGACTGAGGGCCACCATGTCAAAGTTACTGGTGCACTTGCTCTTTTTTCTAAGGGAGCACAGGGGCCTTGGCTTATCTTCGTAATCACCATGTTACCAAAGGCACAGTAACTGTTCAGCAATGTTGGAAAGGGAACACAAAGAGAAATAAAGGGGAAAAAAGATAACTACATACTACTTAAAAACTCAGGAACTAAACCAAAGGAAGCCTTGTTTTCCTAAATTACTGGAAGGAATGATGAGGGTGATACCACTTGTATCACCTGTCTTGAAAAAAAAGAAAATTCCCAGCCACAGTGAAGAAGGCAAAATCTCATTACTAATGGATGAGCCACTTTAAATGCGGGACAACAGAATATTGTGCATCCCTTGGAAATTACAGATCCAACCCTATAAGGTACTATTCTAGGAAGCCTGAGCCTCTAAAATGTCCTGTGTGAAATACATTATAATTAATGGGGTGGGTGGGAGGGGCCTCCGCCAATCACAGGTGAGAAGAAAGAGAGGGAGTTGGAAACACGTTTTGAAAGGGAATTCTTGGCGGGTTCCTAGAGACCTATAAAATGGTGGGAGAGAGAAGAGAAGCGAGCGTAAGATGCGATTTAGGAAAAAACCACACTCACAGTCCCTCACCACAGACTAAGAAGGTATGAGGAATGCAGTAACAACCTTGCAGGAATGTGAGAGTCACCCTGATTAAAGGGAAACCAAATGTGATGTGTTGGAAGTCTTTAACCAGTGAAGAGGCAGGGAAGGTCGGAGGATTTCTGTAACCCATCTGGAGTCAGGCTTTACCGAAATTATGGGCTGCTCTCCGTATTTAAAAAAATAACCGCTCTACTAAAATATAATTCAAATCACCACAAAATTCATGCTTTTAAAGTATACAAGTCAGTGGTTTTTAACACATTCAAAGAGTTTTACATCCGTCACCACTATCAAACTTGAAACTGCGTCCATGAACGTGCGCTAATACACCGCCATCTTCCCTACCGGTGAGCCATCTACTTAAGGGCTGGGGTGGGGGGTTCAGATTATTGCTAAAACCCAAGCGGTGTAAGTGGTGACTGAAAACATGGGAAAGGGGAATCGATTTGGCTCAAAGCAGGTGTCTAGGACGAAGTGGACACAGAACACCCAGTCTCAGTGAAGAGTATGGGTGTAGAAGGAAAAACAGGGGACACTTGCTGGAGGGACAAGGCCGAGGAGAAGAAAGATGGGAGAGGTGGCTGGCCCCCGGGAAATAAACAGGGTGGGAATAGCTCCTGAGTACCTGCCATGGGCCAGACAAAAAAGCAGTGCTTTATCACAGTTAATTTCCTCAGTGACCTGCGAAGCAGTTATTATGAGCCTCAGTTTAGAGAGAAAGAAACAAGCTTGAAGAAGGCAACTCTAAGTTGTAGAAGCAGGATTCTACGACCCATGCTGGACGCACAGGACCTGTGTGCCCCACTCGGCCACACCACTTTCGGAACTCCGCTTACGACTGCACGAGCAAACATCGACGGCGGTATTTGTTCTTGATGTAAAAATGCACAAGTATGTAGCTGATTCACTACATCCTCAAATCCACTAGGCCATACTGTCAATAAATTCCACAAAGTGATAAAAATGGATACTTGATCACTGCTCTTGAAAAAGAAGTATCCCCAACAAAAGTCTCCTCATCTTACAACCAGCAAATGAGCATTATTTTGGAATTCATGTAAGGCTCCTTTTGGATAGGAGTAGAATGTTCCAAAATTTGCTAATCTAAGCAACTTTTCTTATTCACTCCCAGGCTCACTCAAGATTTGTCCTGAAACTGAGAGGAACATATGAAACATGGCATTACAACTAGAGGCAAAGATCAGAGAAGAGTTTAAATCCAACATTAACTCGACTTAATAGGAGTATTTTTTTCACAATATCTGCAATGGGCAGGAACTATTTAGATGAGGACTTCCATAACACTCTCTCACTATAGTTAATCATAAATTTATCAGTGTATCCCATGTGTACTCAACGGCAATACAATTAGTCAATGAAATACTCTCTTAGTGATGCTCTTGGGGTGGGTGGGGGTGAAGGATCTGCTATGTGTATTTAATAATTTTTTGAACGGGAAAAAAGAGAGCTTAAAACTCAAAATCCCGTCTTTCTACTTAAAATAGCAAACGAAGCCTCTGTGTTACAGAACAAACGCACAAGCACAAGCAGAGTGGGTGTTATCAACTACTCAATTAAAAAGTGCCCCCAAATCTATGTCACTTGAACAACAAAAAAAGTTGCAGCAGGCAAAAGAGCTCCTCAAACAATTATTTCTTGCTTTTCAGACCTACTGTAAATGACACCAAATATTTTTGAACAACTTTGACCAATTGTAATTTCTATGTTGAAAGATATTTTTTTTTTAAACGCAAAATGATGCTAAATCTTTGAAATTACAGTCAAGGGAGCTATTTCTGCCTGCCTACACTTGAAAACTCACCACATGTTCAACACTTTCTGGCAGCTATACACACACACAAAAAGAAAAATACAAGAAAAGTGAGAGAGAGAGAAGGGGAGGGACGGAGAGAGAGAGGGAGAAATCATCAGAAATAGCCCACATTGAAATTATCACATTGCTTTTCATGCTTACTTTTTTTTCCAAGCAGCATCATCATTTACATTCACAGAAAAACTACTTTAAAACTAATATGAACACATGCAGGATACTATAAAATTAATAATTATTTATTCTTATGCTTACAAAGAAAAAAAACTGAGCATCTACCCTACAGAAATAAGTTTCATGCATCAATACTCCTAAAAATAAAAAGCCAAAAATATGCTGCTAATTCTAAGAAACTGAGCATAGTTCTTAAATATTTTTGTATTATAAATTATTTACTGAAATAGCACTATTTTAAACTCAGTGATTAAAATAACTGAAAAAAAAAAAAATAACTGAAAATATCACTTGTTTTGCATGCACCTATTCCCTGAAAAAAATTTCCTGGAATAATTGTACATGACTATAAGTCTCAAACATTCACAGCTGAAGCACAAAAAGCTACTAAAAGAAGTCAAACAAATACATACTTGGTCTCATCCATCACTTCCACTTCCGTAGGGGCTGTAATGGGTGCATTGGAACGTCCTGCGGTAGGGTCATCTGTGTTCAACTCTCCATTTGTAGAGCTTACAACCTGCCAAAAAGAAAAAAAAATTATATATGCACAAAGTGACAGGTTATACAACGATAAAAATTAAGGTTAAATTAGAAAGTTAATACGTAGAACATAAAACAATTAGTATGTAGTTGAGCTGTTTATAACTGAATACAGTAATAGGTCTAATATTTTATTAAAATTCAAGGCCATCCAATATTTGCTTTTCAACTTCCTTTTCATCTTGAAATTTCTCTCTTGTCTCTTTCCCTCTGCTGTGTAAGGCCAACTCCTACACTTCTGTCTCAGATCAGCTCCCCAAGGTGTGCCCATCTCCACTGGCACCTTGCTACGTCACGAATTCTTTCCCTCGCAAACTTCAGTCTTGCTCCTTCCAATGGATCCTTCATTTCAGTGTGTAACCACGCTTATGTGTCCCTTGAATACTGCCCATTCATCTGCCCGGTTGTTCATGCCCAGATCCTGAAATCACAGTGATTCCTCTCTTTGACTGAAACCCCACATCCTATCCATCAGCGGGGCTGGTTAAATCCTCCCCCAAAACACATCCCCAGTCTAATCAGTTCTCCCCACCTCTATTACTACCAGGACTTTAGTTCAAGCCACATGACCTCTTGTGTGACTAAGAGCCACAACTTATGAACTGGTGTTCTGCTTTCACCTGCCCCCACCCTCCGTTAACGTATTGTCCACACAACAACCAGAGTGCTCATTTTAAGACAGAAATTAGATCATGTATAATTAACCTGCATAAATCTCTTCAAGTATCAACTTCCCATTTCACTTAAAATAAAGATCCATATTCTTTACCCCAATTTACAAAGCCCCACAACATCTGAATTCTGCTTACCTCTCTGATCTCATACTACCGTCCCCTGTGTTCACTAGCCTCCACCCAGTATGTCAAACTTATTCCCAACTTAAGGCTTTGGCATTATCTATTCTCGATGCCTGAACTAACTCTCTGCCCGCTGATGGGCTATATTCTTATCTTTCAGATTCTCAGAGAACATCTCTAAAGCAGCCCTTTTCTGTCATACAATCTAAGACTTCCATACAGACATACTATGTCATGTTATACTCTACTGTTAACTCTTTGTATAGAATTTATCCAGATAATGTTTTCCAGATTGTGTTTCTTGACACCCACTCTCACCTCCTCCTGCTCCATGACAGCAAGAACTATGGACTGTTCCCCCACTATATCTCCCCCCTAAACCTGGCAGAGAACAGGCAATCAATAAATATTTGTTGAAATAAATGAATGCATGCATGAATGAAATCCTAAAACAAAATAAAAATCATAGCAAAATTCCCACATTCTCCCAAGTCCTCTTTGATCTTTAATAAAGTCACCTTACTGTCCTATTTCTTGCTTTCCCCTCAACTTCTTCAGAACAATAGTCTTAACTTATCACTTCCATTTTTTATAAAATTTTCCACTCATTTATTCCTTAATTCCTTGCAATCTGTACTCTGTTGCTACATCAGATTTCTAGTAAGAGTACGCTTGCAGGTTACCAACGACTCCTAGAAAAATATATTCGGTGGCCTTTGCTCAGTCCTCATTTTCCTGTACGTTTCGGTATCACTTAGCACCAGCTGATACTCCAGAGTAGATGGGTCTAGAAACAAAGCCTAGCTCTCACCCTCACCTGCTATGTGACCCAGGAAAGAGAGCTCATCGTGCTAAAGCTCAGTGTTCTCAACTACGCAATGGGAAACAGGAGTATGCATTTAACAAGACTGAGAGGAGGAAATGGAATCAATGTGAAGGGCAATGACAGGGCTATTCTAGGAGCTCCGGGAGTGGTGGCCCTTGTTCCTCAGCCAGTTTTGCCTGCACTCACGGCTTCGGCTACAAGCTACGTAAAGGACGTGCTGAGCTCAACCGCTCACCCACATGCTCACCTAGACCACGTGGGGTACACACTCAGTACTTCCAAAACTGAATTTCTCATACTCCTCTCAAATGTGTCACTCCTCCTATCCAGGGTTCCAGTTTCCAGTAAACCCTTACCATCTTCCCAGACCTCTGCTGCTTTCCTTATCAAAGCTCATCAGAAGAGAAAGAAAATGCTAATATATCAAAGGCCTGGACAGCAGACTGACAGCTGACTATGAGACTTAACAGGTCCGTTTACAGAGCCCCATTTTACTGAAACTTAACTAATTCTCACGTTCTAACCGAGAGGCCACAACATGCCAGGCAGTGTTCCAGGAACTTGGAAAAACACAAGAAAAACACCCCTGCCCTTGTGGGACTGAGAGTCCACCCCACAACTCCCAGAAAAGTCACTAGACGTCAACTAACAAATCTAGATGAATGCAGGATTATGGAGGCTGAGTTTCCTGTATCCTACGCAGAACAAATACTTAGAAAGGAATGCTGCATTTGTGCCCACAGCTGAGAACACACAGAACGGCCTCGATCGTTATTAGAGACAACCAAGCCAAGGAGAGGAATACCACTGTGTCTCAATCTGCTGCTCTGTTTGGGGGCACCTGCTTCCTCCTTTCTGGCATTCTACTGAGTTCCATGTTAATTTCTTCTCTTCATTTCACCCTCTTTCTGAAAGTATTTAATTAGCAATCATTATTTGTCCTAATTATCAAGCATAATTTGGTTCTTTATTCTTAATCTTTAAAATGTCAGAGCTCCTTGCTGAATTGGAAAGGAGCTAGAAAGCAGGGTTCTTATCTTACACTTTTGTATTCTCCACTATCTGTAATTAGCAGTATGCTTTGCATGCAGAAGATAAAGAATTCACTCAACAATTTCCATTGTTCTTCCCTCAACGTGATAGTCACAGGTTTCTTTTCCTCCTTCCTGTTCAATGGCCCGAGAGAGCTGGAGGGACCCCATCTCAAACTACAGGCAGCTCCTTGAACATGCCTTCCCTTACTTTAAGTGGCATTATTGAAAATTCATAACCCAAGTATTCTACATTTCCAGCAAGAGCAACTGTATGAACATGGCTATTATAGAATCTGACTTACTTCAGCTCACACAAAGTCATAACTGACTTTAATAAGCTTTATTTTAGTGAAATGTTTCAAATCTCATTCCACCTGGTTGACCAGAACCAGACCAGAAGGAAATAATATCTTCATTTATGTATTTTTTTTAAGTAATTTTTCTTTGGTTTCCCAGATTCCCTAACTCTCTGAGTAAAGGCTAACAACCCGGGCTAAGAACAGAATCAACGTGATGACAGAGTTGTCCTATAGAAGCGGCCTACTTAATACTGGTGATGAGAGTATATCAGGGCATTAAAAATGGTTTTCACTTAAGAAAACTAGTATCTTTTAGTGAAGGGATTTTACAAAGAAAAAACAAAGACACAGTATTATAAATAGCATGTCATTATATTCCTCGAAACCTAAATCAACCAAACAACAACTATGCACAAATCATTTTTATAAACCAAATTCTAAAGAATGATCCCATTTAGGTAACATTTCTAGAATTATAACTTGAAGTGGAACATATAGGAGTCTCTGAAATACTGGTGTTCATCACCTGATTTTTCTAATGAAAGTCCATCTAAAAAATGACAGCCTCTTTGAAGTTTGACATTTAAAAAAATAACCCAGGTGTTTTACAGGGCTTTTGTTCTTGTTGTTCTTAAAGAAATTTTCTCTGATAGTCCCACTTCGGTAAGAAACTTAGTACAGTTCTTATTTTAAGATGTTACCAAAAAAAAAAAAATAAAGTAAATAAAAAGGCATCAGATGTGGTGTCACTTTTACTGTACCAGAGTTTAAGGGGAGGGGGTATGGAAACAGCCTGCAGCTCAGGATGGGAGAGAAGTGATGATGGCTGCCTGCCACATCTAATTCCAAAAGAAGTCATTCACATAGACTTTTGAGTACAAAGATAACACACGGTATCTTTGTAGTCAATGATATTATAAGGCTAATTAATTCACTTTCCAAATACAATGAGTTCATACAAATCAGTTATGGTACCACCTTCCTAATTTCTATTTGAGTTATTGTAAGCATGCTACCAAGTGCGCAGCAGAGGCTCACTATCTTAATTAACCAGATCTCCCTCTATCCAGTAAATATATTAGAAATACTAAAATGTTATGTATCTTACTTATGCCCTAAGCTTTTTCTAAAAGCTATCTATAAGAAAGCACACTAATAAAGGAGATATAGTTAAGAGTAATTTCCAAAGAGTTTTCTGGACCCCTGCTAGGGTTCACATGTATTACATGAAACGAACTTTCTTACATATTCTAAAACCTAGAGCTAGAGTTATAATTGATCCTCTTGATATTCCAACTGATGACCTGAAGGCACAGTGAGATTCTCACGGACTTTCAGCAAAGATAAACCAAAATGGATTTTCAATCTAATTTGCACTTATAGAAGTACAAAGCAGAGCACTGTACTCTGAGTATTCCAGCCTTTTGAGACGTTACTGTAAATGTTGCTGTAAAAGGATATAAAAATAAACCTGTAATGCTGATTCACCCTAGTGACACCTGGACAAGGCATTTATTAAGCTAAAGTGACGGAGCTGAGCTGGACATTACTTATCTGCTAACGGCACCCCGCTACTCTCCTTGTACAAACTCTCTTTTACAGATTTCAGCGCCCTGGAAAACGGAACAGAAAGATACAACTGTACTCATCACTTGATTCTCCCCCTTTTGAGTACCTGTGTGTTTTGAAAGATATGAGAAAGCAAGTGAAAGCGGTTACTGGCCATGTTTTAGAAAGGGGAGTATTAACGATGAGCACGATGGAGGACGGCCAGGGGTGTGGCACCTGCTATTCCTCTGACTTTTAACTATGAATGTTTCCTTACCATTTCGAAATACATCCGTCTCACTCTTTCCTGCTATCCTCACCTGCATGTGTATGTCTCCAGTTACACTGACGAAAATCCCAGAGTGCCCAGCACAACAGGTAATGTTCGTCCTTCACTTGCACGCGCAGTGCCCGGCTGCACGCCACAGCGGCACCGTCTGTGAGGCCGCCCTTCTCCCCTCAGGGGCTCAGACTCAACAGTGTTCCTTTACCTGCAACCAAAGGCTGTACAACTAGCGGAGATTTCCCAACGATCGGGACCTACACCATCTCCCATGAAGTAGTCTTCCGATAGTGCCCCTAACATCTTGTCTTCCTCCCTCTGCTCGAAGTTGCCTTTCCGCTTTCCAGGACCGGGCTTTTGGCTGACCTTGAGCTCAAAGGAGCCGTGCTCCAGCAAAAGGCACAGTTCCTGTGGGATTCCAGATGAGCACTACCTGCCATCGGTGGTACATTTTAAAAACCTCATTTTGGACATCCTAGTTTGCCAGGCAGAGACACGTCAAAAAGGGACAGTGACATGACCTTCCCCCTCAGCCCTGACACCAAACTAAATTCTACCTTCTAATTATCTTGCAAATCCTCTCAGTTCTCTTCATCTCTGCTACCCATCACTTTCCCTCAGCTGGACTTCTGAGAGCTGTGTTCCTGCCTTAGACTTGTTCTCCCTTCAGCTTAGTCTCCAACGAAAGCCATCCTTAGAAAAAACACTAATAGAGTTACCTTGCTTATCTAATTCTCTTTACGGCCACCCAATATCCTCAAATGAAGTCCAAATGTAATAATGAGACCTATTAGGTCCTTCAGGACTTGCCTCCTGCCTACCCCTCAGTCATTTCTCAATACACACACCAGCTTGACTGGACTGTAGTCAATTGCTCAGGATGTCTCTCCCTCCTCCACCACCTTACGTGTGCTGCTTTCTTGCCTGGGACGGTCCTCTCTAGACCCCTTCCATCTGCTAACTCCTCCTACTGATGCTTCACTTTAGAAACAGGTGAAAAAACAGAATACAAAGAAGTTCCGCTTTTTCCAGGAAATCTGAACCCACTAAATCCAGGTCAGGAGCTTCTCAATACGTTCTCATAGCATGTTATACATTCTCCGCTTACCACATGGCCTGTTTAATTAACCTCCCCCATTGGCTGAAAGCTCCATGGGGACAGGCACCCTATCTTTGTTATTCTTCCTTTTATTCAAAGACTCCAGTACAATGCCTAATACCTCTTAGTAGACATTTTTGTATATTTGCTGAATAACAACTGGCCAAGAAACTGAAAGTGCTAGGTCTAAGTTTCTCAGCCATAGTTATTACCAAGGATTCTAAAGGGAGCAGAGAGGAATACATCTGATTGCCCTGGGAGCTTTTCCAAAACACATAAAAGCCAAGAACAAATTCAAAATATAGTCTTCAGATATTTGAATGTAATTTTTAATCTCTTGTGTGGGAAAAATTTATCAAACGTGTAGCTGGATCCTTCTGGTCAGTGGATTAACATGATTACACTAAAGATACAGAATAAAATTAGATAAATTCCAATTTGACAATGCTTTCTTTGGGCTGTACCACTAGACTTCACTTCCCAGAGACTAATCAAGTTTCTTAATCTGAAAAAGCAATAGATTATTCTAGTATTTGTACTTCATAAGGCCCACCCTCTGTGCTAATACTTTTTAAATTAAGTTCTCACGACAAAACCATGAGGTAGAAGTATTATTAATATTTCCATTTTACTGGGGCACCCGGGTGGCTCAGTCGGTTAAGCGTCTGCCTTAGGCTCAGGTCATGATCTCAGGGTTCTGGGATCGAGCCCTGCAGGGAGCCCGCTTTTCCCTCTGCCCCTCGTGTTCTCACACACTCTGCTCTCTCTCTCCCTCTCTCTCGCTCAAATAAATAAATAAATAATCTTTAAAAATCTGAAAAAAAAAATTTCCATTTTACTGATGAATAATCTATGGCACAGATTTTAAACTCGAATTTGACTCTAGGGCTTGTGCTCTTAAACACAATGAGATCAACTTGGCAAACCAGATGTCTGACCTGTAACACATACAGTAATTCTAGAAAAACAAGGAGTTCAAATTTAGATTCCACCATTCAGTTCCTATTAAAAACACATCTGAAATAATGAATATCCGAGGAACCTTCTGTAAATCAAAATTGCAAGAGGTTTCATCTTGCAGGTCAACCGGAAGCAGCCCGGAATGCTTTGTGGTGCCACTGAGAGCCATTCTGAGCTCCAGAAAAACACTGCAGTGACAGATGAGGGATGAATGCCACAGGCCCCAACTGGCTTATTTGGGGTAACTCCTGATTCTGCTTCCAAATATCCTAAATCTGTACCATATTTATTTCTCACCGGATAGCTATCAACTTATTATGGTAATGTCTTTCCTAAGAAACTATTCGATGACAGGGCCTTAGTATTTGCTAAAGGCTAATTTTTAATTGCCATATAAAGTCTTTGCATCTCCTACAAAGTCAACACTGGAAATTGTCCAACAGGTAGTTTACTGATCATCACACAAAGAATCTCAAGGCAAATTATTCTCACACTTTTGTATTAATAAAAGGGTTTTTCTCTTTATCTATTCCCTTCATCAGACAATGAGAATAACTGAAAAAGTTTCCCTTCCTTTGTTCAGAATCCAATGTAGTATTATATTTATAATAATGATCACATTAGCTTAGATTTTAGGCACCTTTCTTTCCTCTTCTTACTACTAGCTTTAAATTACAATTTTATTAGCCCAATTATACAAGTGTCATATTGTAACTTTTCAAACTTTTTACATGGGTAGGACATAAAGCATAAATGAAGTCAATATTTTAGGAAAGAACAAGGTTCAGGCATGAGCCTACTTAGGCTGCCAGTAAATTTTTCACAAGACTGAAGCTTGCTTAATGTCCATCATGTCAGGTTAGTTAATGGTGTAAAATATATTCAGGAAGTCAATGAAAATAGTGTAAAATTTTTTGTTTTACTTATGTATTACTAAAATTCTAGTAAGTAAAACTGATCATGTATTGAATATTAGGATGAAGCCAGATGCAGTCTCTGAAGGCAGAGAAGCTTTAAAGAGATGGTGAGAAAAGAGGGGAGTGGAAATGTCTCTTGGGGAACATATGAAAAAAGAGAACATACAGTACTAGAGTGATGAGCCAATAATCAAACTCATTCACCCTGTGATAGTCTGGAGATCCCATGAGCCACCTCTGCGAATCCCACAGAGTAAGAAGAAACTAAGAAAATAACACATTTGTGGTAATGGTGCACATGGCCGGACAGCTTTCTAATAGTGTTGTAACTGTTGCAGATATCCCTGAACACTGAGCAAGACACCTGCTATTGTAACATACAACACTTAGAAACGTGTAAACGTATACAGACACACACACCATCCAGTCTGTGTTATGAAACTAAATATAATTTGCTCTATTAACTTTTCCAAGGCCATGAATTGGGGTCATAAAAAATTTTTTACAATTCAAGCACCCTTGCCTCTAAGTCCTCATCAAATACCTCTGTTACACAGGACTGAAAGGTCCACAGACTACAAAGTTCTATAAAAATATTTGAATACATACTTTAAATTACCTCTAAAATTTAATGGTGAGAAAAACATGAGAACTTCTAAGATTTAATCAAGAACTGACTTTTAGAATTCAAATCAAGAAAGAATAAAATCCAGAGCAGGGATCCAAAAGACTAAATATATCTACATATTCACCAAGAAAAATGCAAATTTGATAAAACATAATGGAAAATTATTCAAGTGGAAATATGTGGAGAAAAAAAATCAAAACTTTTAAAGGAAGTTCTAAATTGAAATGGATGGAGATAACATTTATTATCTCAATTACTTTAAACCGTCATTTAAATTACCTTAAACTAGCATTTTAAAAGAAATAAGAGACTTGGCAACCTTCCCCTTTCTACAATTCACATAAAAGATGAAAATTTAGGGGGCATGGGAGGGCAAGATAAAGTATTCTAAGGGTACAGAGAAGGAAGGAGGAATGAACACTTCAAAAAAATAAAGGACTGCTTTAAATTTTCAGAAATAGCCAGAAAATTGAGGGGAGTATTTAATAAATACTTGTTCTTGAAATTATTTTCTCCATCTGGTATTTTCTAGAAACAAAATATACCATTATAACAATTGGGGTCATGTTTATTTGAGCAATTAATCAGGAAGTATTTTCTGAGTACTAAGGATAAAAAATTTCCTATTTAACTGACTGAAGTTTAAAGAAGGAAAGATCAATGAAAGGGAAAAGTTATAAAAGTGTTCTATTACAGCATTAAAAAAGTCCGAACTTATTACTGAAAAATCAAGCTTAACACATATTTCAAGTAATACAGTTTGTTTTTCTAACCTGTTGTGAGTATGACTTAACTTAAATATTGTTGCATATACTTGCAAAAATGAACAAAGGCAAAATCGTAGTATCCCTGGTGGTCTTCCTAGACCATGTTAATTTTGCTTTTTGGTTAAATACAAAGGAAAAGAATTATGGAGAGTTCAGCAACAAGTTTTGCATTAGGATATGAAGTCATGCCATGAGTTCCAAAAAAGGGTTAGTTGTATAAATTTGGGAAATAATCACTCATGCAAAAATCAGAAAATACCTGTACCGAGCCACCATGTCTGTCTGCTGCAAGGTGAGCTCTCAAATGGTGGGGATTTGCCTGCTGGGAGTCCCAAGCTGCCCTGTGGTCTGCCGACTGCCATTTATTTAATGCATGTGGCATGCATGGAAGAAGAAAAACCCAATATGTTAAACATCTCATCCTTATAATATAGAAAACAAACGTATAAAAGGAAATTTAAAATACCCTTGCTATTCTGAGTCACAGATGCAGTTATCTTTGCATACTGGATGTGGAGAGGTTTTCGTCACATGGCTACCATTAGGTAATGATCAACCACAAAAATAAGACAGAACCATAGAATTTAGAAGTGAAAGGGCTTTAGCTATCATACACTCCACCCTCCAATTTTATAAATGAAGTTAACAAAGAACAAGGGAAGTAAAAATGATGTGCCCAGGAAAGAATTCCAAATAAATCACCAAAGTACTAAAATGCCATCCACTATATTTTCTTACAGTAGAGGTCCCCCTTGGTTTTCTGATGAGGAACTACTTCTAGCGAGGTTTAAAAAAAATAGTCTTTAAACAGCTGTACTTAGATCCTAGAAAACTTTTCTCTCTTGCTTAAGTACCATGTTTCTGACTGTGAGGTTAATATAAAAAAAACAAAGTCCTTTAAAAAGTGACAAGTGTTATACAGAAGAACACTATGAGGATATGACAAGCAGTTTTTTTTATTAAGTGACAATCCTACTTTATATGAATCCCTTTGCTTCCCTGATCTCCTTTTATCTGGTTCAAATTAAGGAACCCATTCCCATGATAGGCTGATGCTTTTACAGGACTTGGCAAATTGGCATGGCAATAACCACAAACTAATAATAATCTACCGCAGAATTAGGAGTAGCTGCTTAATAGGGGTCAGTTTTGAGGTTTCAGGAAAATGTGGACAGCATTAATAAAAAGAAGGAATACAATATTCAAGATTGTTTTACATGTTTGGTTCTGCATCAGCTGCTTTGCATGTGCTATCCCATTTTGAGATAGACAGTATCATCCTCACTTCAATGATGAAGAGGCTTGAGACTAAATACCTGACCGAGGTCAAAGACACTGCAAGAAGTACGGCAGGGATTCAAACTCAAGAGCCAACTGCTCTGCCAGCAGTACTAACTAGCTCCTTAACACAGTGACATATATTTAAAGTCTTCGGTGCTCTTTACTTTCTTTCTTTTTCAACCTAAGTCAAGAAAAACTCGCCAAAAAAGAAAAAACTTGCCACAAAGTGCCACGTATATTGGGCCACCGGGAGCCTGAGCTCATCAGTGGCCGGAGTAGGCCTAGGGGAGAAGAAATGTTAAGTCCAAACAGGCACAATGAATAAATGTTCTGGCACTAAGCTTCCCAAATTAAAGCGTACAATGCAAAATTACGTAAGAAGTATGAGGCGTCATGAAGTCTATCATCAAAGCAATTACAGACAGCTCTAGGTCTTTTCATTAAACCCTCCGTGTTCATGACCAGAATTTAGCAGGTGTGTAGCTTAAACTAAGATAAATTAGAGGAGATTAAATCTAAAGAAGATGAAAGAATGAAAATGGTGCTAAAATGGAGATAAACACCTAAATACTGCCTAGAGCGACAGGTAACATGTAAGGGTCATGGACCTCTTTAAGAAGGTAACTCCCCAGCCTCTCCTCAGAACCAATCGTGACAGGCATCTAACACCTTCCTTGGGATGTCACGGGATTCTGAACTTCAACAACCAACTCTAGGGTAAAACTGCTTACCTGGGGACACTGCAACATTTTAGTCATTTAACTAAAGGTTCTTCTTTTGCGACTGTCAATTTTGAGTTTCTCATACACCTGAAATGTTTACTGCTTCACTGATGTTTAGGAAAAGTTTTTAAGATATACAACTTTTCTATTATGGTGACAGTCTGCATACCCAGGTTTCAAATTTAATACATAAGCTACCCTAAAGGGTTTCCTGAAAAAACACAAAACGAAAAGCAAAAATCGACTCCCTACATTTAGTGCAACAAGGACTACACAAATAAAACATGGTTCCCACCTTCAGTGAGCTCACAATCTAGCTAGGAAGACAAGTCTGAAACACACAGAAAATTAAACTTGAAGACATTTGAATTATAATTGAATTCAACATTTAAAGAAGAGTTTCACTCATTACAATACCTAACAGCTCAAGAGGACATCTCCAGAGAACATGAATTATTGATCTTCATCCAATTGAGAAATTAATTCTGATTTATAAAACACAAACTCCCAAGTCTTCACTTTAGAGCCATTTCTTTCTATATTCAGCATCTTACCGTAGTAGTCAAACTACCAACTAGTACTAATTTATATCTGAAGAAATTTATATTTAAGATCCTTTATTGTCCCAATTTTTCTAAGGCAAAATTCTAAAACTACTCTGTCTTAATTGGCTGTACTTTAAAGCCTACTATTGTTCAATATCCCCTAAATGGAGCATTTTATTTTGCTATGATTTTTATTGTGTTGTGTTCTTTCCTTTGATTTTCATCCCTTGTTTAACTCACTGCAACTCTGATGGGATAAAAGATATAAGAGTAAGAAAGGATAGCACATTATCCTTCCCCAGAAAGGGTTATAACTGAAAATTCTAAAGATGCTATTTAACTTCCAATTAGCAAAATGTTTTATGTCAAAGATAGATTAAATCAAGCTTCTTTTTACAAAAAAGAGAAAAGCAAGAACATCACTCAAAAATTTCAACAGCTTTCAATTACCTTACCCAGGAAATACAAATTCTTCCCTATTTATCTGCTATGCCTACTCTCTGCATAGAACCTACTCTCTGCCCAAAGCAAACTGAAATGCTCACTATTTCTCAAACTACATTTTTAAACTTCTGCTTCCTATTTTACACTGTTCACCCTCCCCAAAATGCCCTTATTCTTTCATCTGCCTTTAAAAAATTCCATTCGTTCTTCAGGCTCAACTCAAAAGCCACCTTCTGCATAAAATCTTTACAGATCCCCCATATTCCAATGATCTTCCATGGCACTTTATTAGTATACTTCATATGATAGAGGTTACACTGTTTGGTAATATAGTTACTTGTGAGTTTATTGTAATAATCATGATAACAATAACACCAGCCATGAGAGTTGAGATTTACTGAATGCTTATAGGAATTAACAAGCATTATTTCTGTTTTGCAGATGAGAGAACCAAGGCTTTGAAAAATAAGAGTAATTTGTCCAAGATCAAGTCATATCCAGGTGTGTCTGATTCCAGAGACTGAGTGAGCTCTTAGCCACTCATTACAAAATAATTTCTTATAGGTTATGTTGTTTTCCTTACTTGTGCATTTCTGCAACATGCAGAATAGTAGCTTTCAAAGAGCAAAACTCAGCAAATAATTTATTGAGCTAAATTAGACTGCAGTTAGAAAGATCAACTGCTATTATAATTTTTTCCAACAATATCTCCAAACACTTGCAACTCTACGAGTATCAAATATTGCTCAAAGTTTATACTAATTTATACCACTAATTAGAAATTTATCATTAAACATTTTCATGTGATTTTTAAACTAGTAAAGAGTGAACATGAGGGGGAAATGGTTTATTTGTTGCAAATCTATGCATTCTTGATCCCTGATAAGCATGTGTATACCGTCTGTTTTATCTATTAAAAAAAAATGTATTTCAATCCTTCAGTATCTATCTACATGTGTAGATCTGTGCTCCCACACACACATACACATGGGCACACCTGTAAACCTACCATCTGGGCATGGTAAAAAACCAAATTTATTTTTAAACTGTCAGAAATTAATACAGAAGCAAATCAAGACATTACATATCTGAAAGGGCAGCAAACCTGGTTTTTGGATTGTTGCATCTTATCTCTGTGTTGATGTGCTTCTCTGTTTGATGACAGAGCAGGATCTTGCTGAACTGCACCCACTGGAGTAGGCTACGGTACAAGAATTAGCATCAATACATTCTATTTCAGAAGTCGTATTCAAAATTACTTAGCTGCTTCATGGAATCAAGGAAATAATAAAAGACACTTAAAGTAAAGCCTTACAAAATGATACCATTCTTGAAATATGTCACTAAAAATAAGTTAAAACAAGAGAACATAGCTACTTTTTTACATTATTTTCAAAAATGTTTAAAGACTTTATCAAGTATTCACTTTTATATCAATAAAAGACTTTCTAATGCAATCTTTACTTTCAGGTTACTTTTTCATATCAGAAAAATGAAAGTGTATTTATTTATGTCTCTCATTTTCAAAGCTAATGTATAAACACAATAAATCATTTTAAGAAAATAAGGAAATTATTTTTTAAATAAGCTAATAAAATGGCTTATTGTCAATATTTTGACTCAGGAGAGACTTATAAAGTCAATTCACTTTGGATCTAAGAAAAATATAGATTAAACATTTAAATAAGTCAGTTGTTCAAAAATACATGAATCTGAGAGTTTGGTAGTTCCAAATATGGACAAAAATTTGTCAACAGCAAGCCACAATTAAATAAAGTTTTGTAAGACATTCTAACTTATTAAAAAAAAATAGTGAGAATAAATATTTTAAAAGTTGTCTCGTCAAAGAATTTCATAATGTGTCCCTTTAAATGATGAGCACCAATTCTACAGTTATAGTCAAGACTAATTTTTTTAAGTTACAAAAACTTAGAAGAGTTTTAAAAACCCAAAACATGCTCCAATTTTTAAGTACCAGTCTATTCAAGACATAACCTAAAACTGCTAGTAGAATTAAAACCTATAATTTTATTTTACAAATGTTTTGAGAAATGACTGAAATAAAACACAAGACTAACTGATCTTTTAAAGTAACAGGATATTATACAAAAAAATAATTATATTTGACAGTAAGAGATAAATCAGGAATGAAAAGTTGAAAATAACTCATTACTTCAAAAAGCAGGGGGTCCAAATGTGGGGTTTTTATAAAATTCAAAGAATAATTTTAGTATTATGCTGCCTAAAATGCCCAGGAAGATGCAATAAAATGAATCCTTTAAAAAAATTATTTGTATTCAACTCTTTTCACTGAAGAAGCTGTACTATGGGGAAAAAAGTACTACAAATAATCTTTCATTATATAGCACAGAGTACTCACCAACTGTTTACCAATCCAGTCATACTCATAATCAAACATATATCCTTTTCGATCAAACAAGTCAGTAAAAAGCTTTCTTAGGTAGTCATAGTCTGGTTTTTCAAAAAAATCTAGCCTTCTTACATAACGAAGATATGTTGCCATTTCTTCTAGAAAGGAATAAAAATTATTCTGATATGTCTCTATATACTCATTAATAATAAAATTATTTAAATGTCTAAAAAGTGTTATAAAAATATGAAAAAGCAACAAAATTCTGCAATTTAAAACTTTAGGAATTTAATCACAAAGAAATTAAAAAGTTCTCGAAGGGAAGAAAAAAATAGGGTCAAAGGAGAAACGAGAGGTTTTATTTAACAAATACATTTGCTTCATTTCATTAGGAAAAGCTAAAATTTTTATTTTACATTGTTATTTTGAATAGAAACCTTGGATAGTACTAAAGATTGAATTAGCAACTTAATAACGCATAATTACTTAAACACAAGCATGATACTCCGCTCATAAACTTAAACATTTATTTAAAATACTAATGGGAATTGATTTATATATGAAAGCATCTGCACTAGCTTGATGGATTTCTTTTACCATCAGACATATTCACTAACCGACCAACAGAGGATTCAAATTCCTAATTTGGGCCATGAGCAGAATGCTAACCAAACAAAATAAAGCTAAGAGATCTCAGAAATAAAACACAGCAGCAGAGTTTAATTTTTCTTTGAATTTTCAGTCATACAACAATTATTTGGTAATATATAAATTTCTCTGTGCCACTGTAATTCCCAAATGTATTAGACATAAGTATTTTTCTTAAAGATCCTACTTTCCTAAAGGAAAAGAAAGAAAAAGCCATAAAAATCAACAGGTAAAATGGTGAGCAATTCGTAAAACAGGGTTTCACCATCAGGGCACAGGAAATCACTGTAGTGAGAGATGGAAGGTTACTCTCACGTGTTTTTCTGATTCAATTCACTGACAGTGGCCAGTGAGAACAGGATCATGCACTGCCCAACGGGCAATTAGAGTGGCACCCAGTGACCTTCCTCATAGGGTGACTCTCACTATTCCACATTCTAGCTAATTACCTGGTTAAGTGACTCTGACACCATTTTATCCTGCAGAAACATGTATACACTTCAAAATAACACACAGCCAGTCTGCCTACACCTACACTGTTAGTGTCAACCAATATATTTTTAATCTTCCAGTTCTGATGTTACAGCAAAGACAAAAAATATGTAACTAAAGTTTGCTGTCCAAGAATAACAGAAGCAAACTTGAGGAAGGGCTCCCTGAGATCATGCTGCTTGCTGACACCCCAGCAGTGATGCCCAGCAATGGACAGGAGGACATGCGAATACTGAAGTGAGGTATGAACTCAGTCTGGGACCTTCCAGTTTGGTTCACTTTTTACTTAACAACATTAGCACACATTATTCTTATTTCTTAATTGATTTAGGAATCTTAAGTAAATTTTGGTTGGCTTAATCTGAATTGCCAAAACTTCACATGGAAGTAAAACGATTTTTATAAAGCTCCCCAATGTGACATTAGCCAGAAAGTACTAAGGTCTGTAAGATCTTAATGTATTTTGAAAACTAAATCATACATCACACACCTCCTTTGAGCTTGACGATGAGACTCAAATGACTAACACTGTGCACCAAAACTTTATAGCTCGCATTTCTCAGCAAGTATTTTAACTTATTGAAAGTATGTCACTGATATGTTAGCTGATACTGGTCAACACTATCAAAAAATGGGATTTTCTTATATTAAATCCATCTTAACAGAGCAAATATACAAATTGTCCCTGTGGTCTATGCACCAAACACTGACATCTTTTAAATCATACTTTGAACTCATTTTTTTTAAGCATGAAAAACAGTCATAAACTTGAGCAATGGAAGTTAACTGCTCTGGTTTTCTGTGTCTACGCACATGTATACCACTGTGGTGTCATTCATTACCTGGAAAATTTTCACATAACACCTCTATTGGTGTGGCTCGTTTTGTATCTCCAATTTTCTGATACCTCTCTTTTAATGTGTCAGCCTGAAACAGAAAGGAAAAAAATCTTGAGAAGGTGGTGATTTTAAAATTAACTACTTGGAAGACAGAACCTTAACATACTAGCAATTTATAAAATTCAAAAGGAAACACAAAAACAATTACCTTTAAACCTTGCCAAGGAAGACTGCCTCTCAGAAAATACATGAACATATGACCTAAAGCTTCTAAGTCATCTCTTCTACTTTGTTCTGAAACATAAGAGAAACATCAACTTCACTTTCCTCTCCCGGTTAAGGATTCAAGAATGGAGAATTGATTCTTTTGTTACATATAAATTAATTCCCAACGTTCAGTATATAAATATAAAATATCTAGCACTTATAAGCAACAAATCTTGTCCAGTTAAACAATGTTTTTAACATTAAAATTATTGTGCATCTTTAAAATATGCCACTACCGTTTTTTTGGGGGGGGGGGGTTGTTGTTGTTTTTTAAGATTCTACTGGGCACTTATTTCTCTCCTTAGATATCTACCCATAGAAGTATAAAGCAAGTCAGAAAGGGTTCCATGGTCAAATACAGAGTCACTGTGTACTATAGCCCCATCTTAAAGACCCAGGATGTAACATACTAAAGGTTTAGGAAAAACCCGAGATAAAAATGTTTAACTTCATTTAACCTGCATTTCTTGAACTTACACGAGCACACAACGTCCATCCTATACACTCTCCATTAATATTAACTGCAATTAGGATTCTGTGTAATATATTCTTAAAAACACTTGTATTTGACACATCCCAACATTAATAACCCCTCTGCCACCATCAAAAACATGCTGCTAGAACAAACTGCCATTTTCAAATTGCTACTGTTGTTTTAGTAACAAAATGTTGTATAGCATGTAAGTGAGTGACAATTACAAAGGAAAACTTGAAAAGGTACTTATATTTGCTAAGTGAATTATTTTTCAATTTTTTTGTCACTGAAGTCAAATGCTTAAGATTTCTTACTATTTTAAAATACAAAACCTCTAACAATAAGAGAAAAAAATAGTATTTTAATTATAAATGTGTAAGATGTTTTATCCAAATGAGTCATCATCATACTACCTAAGCAGTACTGAATGCTTTTGAAAAAGCAAACTTTTCAAAGCATGGCTCTCAACTAGCATGAACAGGACAGAAAAGGTTTTAATTTCTACTATGTAATCTCATTCCACAACTGTCTCCTGTAACACTTGCTACTATATATATATATATATATATATATATATATATATATAGTGTAATTATCTAGTCTTTATCTAGCCTCCCACCAGACAGCAGATTACAGGACAGCAGATGTCTCTTGGCTCATTATCCCCAGGACCAAGTATTATGGCTGCCACAGAGCAGGCACTCAACACAGACTATTTAAATATAAAAATGAGTATCTGAAAATACATAATACTAGATATGTGTCCCTCTCCTACAAGCAAACAAAGATATCCAGAAGAAAATGCATCGAATTGTTAGGAATTAGGTTTATGAGATTGGAGGATTAGACAGGACATTCCACCTTCTCATTTCATATACTCAAACTGCAGTATAATGCCAAATTTTTTTCTTTTTTGCTTCTATTTTCTATTATAACAATGTAAGCATATGCTATTAAAAATAGAAAACTTTCAAAATAAATAAAATGGACTCAAGGTCTTTTTTTTTTATTTTTTTTAAGATTTTATTTATTTGACAGAGAGAGACACAGCGAGAGAGGGGACACAAGCAGGAGCGGAGGGAGAGGGAGAAGCAGGCTCCCCGCTGAGCAAGGAGCCCAATGCAGGACTCAATCCCAGAACCCTGAGATCATGACCTGAGCCGAAGGCAGATGCTTAACGACTGAGCCACCCAGGCGCCCCTCAAGGTCTCTTTAAAACCCATTAGTAAAAGCGGGGATATGAATTAACATGAGAAAAATGAGTAATGTGTTTTATATATACAATTTGACTTTATTAGATCTTGGGAACCTTAGGAATAAAGAGTCATGCAAAGAAAAAAAAATATTTCTGAAGTCCCACTAAGAATCAGAATCACCTCTGAAACTTTTAAATGCCTCAAATGAGCAGGCCTGATGCTGGAGACTGATTCCTTAGGTATGACATGAGCTAGAAGAATGTGCATTTTAAAAAAGCTTAACAGATGATTTTGAAATACAGCCAGAGTTGAAAAGCCCTAAAAAAGAAACTCCTTTTATTGAAGTATACTTTACACATAATAAAATACACCCATTATAAGGGTACAGTTTGAAAAATTTTAACAATGTACACCTTAGTACCACCACAATCAACAACTATTTCCAACACTCCAAAAAGTTCCCTTATGCCCATTGCCTGTTATTCTCCCCTCCCCTCAAAACAACCACTTATCTGCTTTCTGTCAGGCTACATTAAATCTGATTTTTTATAGCGTTTCATATGAAAAGCATAGTATAGTATGGACCCTTGGGTCTAAATTCTTTCACTCAACATATCTTTTTATGTTGTTGTGTGCATTGGTAGTTCATTACTTTTTATTGCTGAGTAGTATACTACAATATATTTATATATTCACCGATTGATGGGTCATGAGTAACTTCCAGTTTGGGGCTATTGTGAATAAAGCTTTTATGAACATTCTTGTACAAGTCTGTGCGTGGACGTATGTTTCCATTTCTCCTGTGTAAATTTTTAGGAGGAGGATTACTGCCTCAGTAATTTTACTTTTTTAAAATCACTAAAGTAATTTTACTTTTTAAGACACTTCTATACTGTTTTCCAAAGGGGTTGTGCCATTTTATATTTCCATCAGCAATGTAGGAGAATTCCAGTTGATGTAGTATCCATCCCACATTTAGCATGGTCATTCTTTTATATTTCAGCCCTACTAGTGACTGTGAGGTATTAGCTCACTGGGATTTAATTTGAATTTCACCAGTGACTAATATTTTTGAACACTGTTTCAACTGTGTTATTGCTTATTCATACATCTTATTGTGAAGGGTCTATTTAAATATTTTACTCATTTTTTTAAATTGAAAAATTTAAACACATTTAAAATTTTGAACACTTCTCAAAAACCAATTGAGCGTCTGTGTAGGGGTCCACTTCAGGACTCTGTAATGTGACCCATTTATCTATGTCTAGGCCAATAATAATAATAATAATAATAATAATAAGCAAATGTCCTGAAAGACAAATTACGAAGATGCGAATAGTTCTATTCCAATTAAAGAAATTTATTTTATAATATAAAATCTTCCCAAAATATAACCAAAGGCCCAAATGGCATCACTGGTGAATTCTATTAAACAGTTAAGGAATAATACTAGCTCTACACAAACTCTTCCAGGAAGCAGAAGGGAATCTTTCCCAACTCTTCATTAATGATGTTACCAGTCAAAGGCATTTTACAAGCAAAGGGAAGTACAGGAAATGTCTCCCATCAAAACACTCACAAAATCCTTCAAAAGCTAATACATGATGACTAGTTCATCCTATAAATTTAAGGTTGGTTTAACTTTCAAAAACAAATTGATGTAATTCACCATGTTAATAAAAGATATATATCATATGATCACCTCAAAAGATACAGAAAAAGTACTTAATAAAACATAACATGCATTTATGATAAAAAAAAAACACTTGTTAAATAAGCAATAGAAAAAAAAAACTTCTTCATTCTGACAAAGGACTTCTATGAAAAACCTACAACTAACATAATTCTTACATGGCGAAAGAAACACAATCAGAAACAAAACAAGGATGTTCACTCGCACATTATCTATTCAGTGTTGTACTGGAAGCCCTTGTTAGTTTAAAAAAAGAAAAGATTTAAAAGGTATTCAGATTGGAAATAAAGAAGTGTAACTAGTTTTCTCTGCAAGACCAAATGATCACATATGTGAAAAATCCTAAGTAATCCACCAAAAAACTCTATTAGAACTAGTACATGAGTTTTGCAAGGTTACAGGATACAAGGTCAGTATATAAAAATCAATTGTACTTCTATGAAAGCATCGACAACTGGAAAACAAATTTAAAAAGCAATACCATTTTCAGCAGCATCAAAAAATATGAAATATTGTAGAGATAAATTTAAAAGACTGAACGATATGCTAATACTGACCCCTCCCAAGTAGCATTCTTTGTTAAGGAGAGGAACACAATATAAAAGGCAATTTCCCTCTAAATTCAAGGTGTGGGGCTTTAGTTACCAGAGTGACAACAAGCCATGATGATAAGGTAATCTTGCCTAGATGGTTGTCTCAGAAAGCAGTATTAGTCTCAAAACCTACACAGTATTTAAAAATTCAAGTCATAAATACAAGCTAGTAAAATAAACCACTTCTGCAACTCAGTCTGAAACGTTCCTTACCCTCATAATTCTTTTCTTTGTGTTCTTTCATCAACTGATAAATCTGGAAGTAAATTTCACCATGTAGTGAGTAACAGAAGTCATGAGGAAGGCTTTATCTTTGAAATACAGTAACTAAAGAATACCTCCTCAGGTCTCTGTTTCATGGGGTAGGGGTGGGGGGGGCATCTCCCAAAGGTAATCTGGCCCTTATTAAACCCTGTTCACATTTTATAAAACACTTAACTACAAAGACCTGTTTGAAAATGGATGTTTCCCTGGAAGCCAAGAATCCTTATTATAGGAACCCTTACTATGAGCAACTAAGAAATTAGAAAGTGATGATTTACTTTGCAATAGGTATCATTAAAGAATCTTTTAAATAGGTTTTCCAATAAGTTTAAAAGTTATATAAAGAGTCAATTAAAATTCTGCTTTTTAAGAATATACGTAGCACACCAAAGGAGTACGTGCACCCCAATGTTTATAGCAGCAATGTCCACAATAGCCAAACTATGGAAAGAGCCTAGATGTCCATCAACAGATGAATGGATAAAGAAGATGTGGTGTATATATACAATGTAATATTATGCAGCCATCAAAAAAAAAATCTTGCCATTTGCAACGACGTGGATGGAACTAGAGGGTATTATGCTAAGCGAAATAAGTCAATCAGAGAAAGACAAGTATCATATGGTCTCAGTAATAAAAGGAATTTGAGAAACAAGACAGAGGATCATAGGGGAAGGGAGGAAAAAATGAAACAAGATGAAACCAGAGAGGGAGACAAACCATAAGAGACTCTTAATCTCAGGAAACAAACTGAGGGTTGCTGGAGTGGTGGAGGTGGGAGGGATGCGGTGGCTGGGTGATAGACA